AAGTTATGGTGGAGCACAAACAGTCTTAGTTCATCAAAATCACAGAACAGTGTGCTCTAACAACTAAAGACTTCTGTTTCTTAAAAAAAAAAAAATTCTTATTATTATAAATTAAAAAAAAAAAAAAAAAAAAACTAAAACAACTATGGACTGCATATTCTAAGAAGCTAGCCGTCAAGTGGATCTCAATTCTCAATGAAGCATCTTCTAAATTCAGAACATTTATTTAATTTTCAGTTTAATTAATTTTGGATAAGTTCCAGCACATTTTTTAATTATTATGCAACAACGGACACAAAAAAGAACAAAATATGACCCTGGTTTAACAATGGAGTTCTCCATAAGAAGAACATAAAAGAATGAGGCTTTAAACTGTCCACAAAAAATTATGAAAAATAAAATTATGCAGATAAAATATGGCTTTACCTTGCTACGATTGCAATTTCAGAATATCTTGAAGAACTTGCTCCACCATAATACCACAAGCAAATAAACCTAGCCCAAACAGTGCAGGCCTCTCTCTCAATATTGTCTTGAAGCTAGTGTCCTCAGATTCCCTACTGTGCATTGCCCATGCCATCGCCGGGGGCAGAACTCCATACAACATCGTCATACAGTATCCACCCTGTTTCATTCAGAGCATCAGAGAAACAGAAAGACCAAGCATTGAATTTCTGTTACATAATAAAGGACATCCACATATGATTTTTACTGATACAAGGGCTGATACTTTCAACTAAAATCAATGGGTTGATTGGTAACATTATGAAATCTAAACAGAATCTTTTTATGGCATATGATTTTGTTAGGACTTAATAGCCGACGATAATATAGTAACTAGCAAGGTTATTGGGAGTTTATTATAAATAGAAAGGTTGTACTTTGGGGAGAGGTAGGCAACTGTTTAGTGGCTTTAGAGTGGTATTTCTTTGAGGGGAGGTTCCAAGTACCACAAATACATGAAAATTGTTGAATTTTTTCTTTCATCTTTCAATATATTTCAGTTATTTGGGTATCATTGAAAGTTTTAACTTAATCACATTGCCACATGCCATCGAAAAACCGTTCCCTTTCAAATGGAAAAAATGCTTCATGAGACCATGGAATGGAAATGGAACGATACCGCTCATGGGGTACTTTTGGATTAAAAATATGGATCCACTCTTCTGAAGTTCACTTAGGCAAAAGCATTACAAAGTTCATGGGGATAAGAAGCTGACTACAATATGAACTATAAAGACAAAATCACTTCAAAAATTAATTTTAGAAATAGAAATTACACTTGAGATTTCCACAGTAGAATGTGAAAATACCTAACCTAAGCTTGAATTATATGATTTATGTCCTTAAAACGCATATTCAGTGTTTATAGGACAGAAGGCACATGGTTATGTTTACTTACTGCAATATCTGTGGCAGCCGAGAACGAATCTGGATTAGTAGTGGACACAAGAAGAGAGGGACCAACAGCAATTGCCATGGCAATGAGGCTTACTTTATTCATTTCCCACCAATTCCTCTTTAAAGCGACATTCGAAGGCTCCTGTCATAGCCAACATATGGCGGTTTCATTAGTTTTGCCTCTTGCAGTTCATTATGTAAATCTACAGTAGACATTTTTGTAGGCAGCCTTACTTGCAAAGTCTCTGATGTAGAGAAATTAAAAAAGATGTTACGGAGTTGCTCCTTGAAAAACTCAGAGAAGCTTAGTAATGTCCCCAGCATAGATGTTCCAACAGCAAGAAGCGAGAACCATTCTACCATGTAAGAAACTCCACTCCATCTCACTCTATCAAACCATAAACTTCTTTCAGAAACTTGCTGAGATAATAATTCAGCATATCATTAAATAAAACTACTCCGTGAAATCTTGAAGGTTTGGAAAGAACTACCTCAGGAGCAATTCAACAGGGTCGACTACTTGATCAGCTTGCGCTAACAAGCCAAACGCTATTGCGTCCCAGACAAGTAGTGTTAGCAATGGAATAAAGCTACCAATCAAAACTGAAACTCGTAGGCGAGGAAGGTCGCCTTCCAAGTAAGCACACAGAACTGCCAAAGTATAAGATTTGATCAACCTAATGGGGGCTATAGCTTCATACTTTTACAGATCATGGGAACAAAGTAATGGTAAATGAAACAAATTTCACATATAATTTTACCTGGTATTACATCATGATATACCAAAGCAAAGATAATAACAGGTATTGTAGTTGGGACCTTTGTCCAGTCTCCTCCACCTTCCATTGCAAACCATCCCCCAAACTGAACTGCTAACACCTCAATTCCCAGAAGTAAACCTGCAACATTTAACGAACAATATTTATCTACGTTCGTGTAAAAAACCTGTGGCAAATTTGGGAGGTTGATTTCAAAACATTTTTCTAGTTTCGATTATAAAACTGTTTCTAGAATTTAACATCAAGTAGAAGATTATACTACATTTGGAACCCTTGTATAAGTGTATAGCATCAAAACTCTGAGTTTTACTTGACTTTTTGTGCCAAAAACAGAAGTGCTTCAAGGTGAGAGGCAATGATACTGACTCAAATCATGAAGATACCTATCATACAAGCTGTAAGCCATTGGTTGACTTGATCTACGGTTCTAGTCCTACCAACAGAGATGAGCAGAGTAAAAACTAAGGTGAAAAAGAGGCCTGAAAGTGGAGCTGGAAGATTGAATGATTGGAGAAGGATCTCTTCGGACTTGGAAATATAGGCAACCATGGAAATGTAGCCCAGGAAAACATAGGCAACTGTGGCCAGGGTTCCACCAAAGTCCCCTAGCGTCTCCTGGGCCATAGTCCTCACTGAAATCACCTTCATCCCCGTCTCTCCCCGTTCAGTCTTCTTCCTCCGCATAACCACACTAATCTCAACGAGCAACAGTGCTTCTACCAGAAGAAACCCCCAACATAGTATTATCGATATGGAACTGGGAAAAAATCCCTGCCACAAAAATACACGACATTTTCTGAAAAACGATATAAACGTCGAAGGCAACAAAAATAGTCTATCAAGAATGTATCAAGAATGTTGAGGATCGTTGGGGGGAGTCCCATGTTGATTAATTTAGGGAAAGATCATGAGTTTATGGGTAAGGAATACATCTCTATTAGATTGAGGCCTTTAGGGAAAACCAAAAGCAAAGCTAGGAGAGTTTATGATCAAAGTGGACAATATCATACCATTGTGGAAGCCTAGGACTCTTAACATGGTATTAGAGGCATGCTTTTAACTTAACTATGTCAATAGAATCCTCAAATGTTGAACAAAGAAGTCATTAGTCTCGAAGGTGTAATCAAAAGTGACTCATGTGTCGAACAAATGATGTACTTTGTTCGAGGACTCCAAAGAAGAAGTCGAGCCTCAATTGAGGAAAGGTTGTTCAAGAGCTCTATAAGCCTTAGGAGAGGCTCTATAGTGTACTTTGTTTTTGTTCAAGTGGAGGATTGTTGGGAGGGAGTCCCACCTTGACTAATTTAGGGAATGATCATGAGATTATAAATAATGAATACATCTCCATTGGAACGAGGTTTTTTGGAAAAACCAAAAACAAAACCATGAGAGCTTATGCTGAAAGTGGATAATATCATACCATTTATAAAATGAAATGCAAAATTTAAGAGATAGAAAGAGAGGGAGAGAAAGTTACAGCCGGAGATGCTTTCTGTGGAAGTGCAAGAATCCCCGATCCGACACTGGTACCGATTATGAAAGCCACGGCTCCTGCTATAGTTCCTTTCTTCTCAGGCGACGTAACAGGCTGTAGTTCTTCTCTTGATTCTACCCTTTCTTCTTTTTGCTCGTAGCAGAGAAACCGACGTTTGTATCTATAACAGTACGTAAAAGAAAGCAAAACTCAAAATTCATACAAACATGGCGTAAAAACACGGATAAATTTGTGAATTAAAGAAGCATCAATCATCAAAGCGATGAACGGTACCAGCTACCTCTTTGATCTTTCGCCGATTCGGCGGCGATTTTGCAGAGTGGTCCTTGAACATGGCAACGACCACGGCGATCGAGGAAGAATTTGCAGGCATCGGTCGTGGGTTTTAGGGCATGACAAGGTGGAAGAGACGACGACGGAGAGTAAATTCATGGAAGACAATAGAGTTGAAGAAGGAGATTGGAAAGTTATGGCTGGAAATGAATCCCACTTCGAGTGATAGTTTCCAAATATGTTGGAGAAGATTCCGTGGGGTCCAACGATTCCAAGATTGCAGAATCGGGCCATAATGGATCCGAACCAAAGATGGGCCTTTATATATCAGCCACCATAATTGGGCCATTGTTGGGCCCACCAAAAATCTCCAAAGGCCCAGCTCATTCTAACCACTCTTTCTTTTCTTTTTTCTCTTAATGCAAAAAATTAATATTCATATATAAATTTAAATATTATTAGGCCCTTCACGTCCATTTTTCACTCTAAATATAATATAAAAAAAATTAAATAATTTATTTTATGTATTTTAGTTTTTTATATTTGGAGAATAATTAACATGTCTGTCACTTATGAAATCACAAAAAGAAATTAATTTAAATAAAAAATCTAAAATTAAATTTAAAAAAAGTTAATTATGACATCTCTATTTTTTAAAAAAAGAAATTATAAATATATGTCTTGTTTATTTCACTTGATTATTCAATGAGATGGAGGGTAGTATCGTCCTAATGAAAAATTGGTATTTTCGATTAATACAATACAAGAGGGTATTATCGTCTTAATAAAAAAAATTAGTGCGCATCCACTCTATTGTTCTTCACCCACGGGGGTTTTATAGTTGATAAACGGACCCACACGTAACGGCAAGAAAGAAACGCGGGCAAAAAACAAAAAATAACGGACTTTTTTGTAATTTTACCGTTCATCACGGACAAACAAGAAAAGACCGATATCGACCGTCCGATCATGACTCAGACATGACAGCTACCGTTGATGCTCAATCGGACCATGCCACAATGGCGAAAACTAAGTCACAATGATCCAAAACGACGACGTATCGTGCATCGAGATTAGTTTTCTTGTACAAATGGAAATGAAAAGGGGCAGTCCTCTGCGACTGCAGCAGGTTTCTTCTTCCATCTTCGTCGTCCTCCTCTGTCTCTGTTTCATTTCAGTTTCTTCTAATTTCTTTCCTTTTTGTTCTTTGTTTCACTGATTCTTGCTCGTAATCTTGCTTTTTGTGCATGGATGATATTGATCATGATATAGACGCATAGCTTATCTTCTTCAGAAGTGAAAAAAGTCAGAGAAAGGGGCTATCGGCTTTCTTTATTACTGCTACTACTTTTATAGGAGTTGCGAAGGAAAGTGGATTTTCAGATAGGACAATCAAGTTCTGGATACTGATAATCAAAACACCTGTTTGTGCTAGGGCATGATTTGAAAGCTCAATCGGTTGGTTGAGTATTCTTGTCGAGATGACGTGACTTCTTATTCGGTGTTCTTTTAATTCTCACGAAATTTCGCGGTTGTATTGCTTTGATTTCGTCTTGAGTAGTTTATAGTGTTTATCAATCGGAGATTTGTAGCGGAAGTCAAATATGTTTTTCTGGACGTTGAAATCGTTTTTGACTTGTTCTGGTTGAGCTGCCAGAACGAATTTTCTTTGTTTGGCGAGGTTTCGTAACGGAGGAGTTTTGTTGTTTGGAGGTTAGGCTGGACATGCGAGAAATGAGATTGGAATATTTATTGAAAAGCAAACTGAATACGGAAGGTTGTTTTCCTTGTTGTTAGTTTGTTTGCTTCTGGAAGCACGAATTTCTTGGCTGTTGATTGATTTGAACTGTGGAATCAATTCGTTAAGAAATGCAGGAGCCAAGTATAGATACCGATAAGCTAAGTTATGAAATCTTCTCAATTCTTGAGAGCAATTTTCTCTTTGGCTACGATGATCAGAAGCTATGGATTCCTAAGCAGATATCTCCCGCTGTTGATGGCAAACCAATATCCGATGCTGCAACTCAAGAACACGCTCGACTAGAAGAAAGCTGTGGCGCTTCGTCGATAAGAAACCAGAGAGGCAAGGTTTGCATTCTGAGCATCGATGGCGGAGGTATGGGAGGGATTCTCTCAGGTAAGGCTCTGGCTTACCTCGAACAAGCGCTCAAAACGAAATCGGGAAATCCTGACGCCAGAATCGCCGATTATTTCGATGTTGCGGCGGGAGCCGGTGTAGGAGGCATTTTCACTGCAATGCTTTTCGCAACAAAAGACCATAGTCGGCCGATGTATAAAGCAGAGGACACTTGGCGGTTCTTGGCAGATCAAGGCCAGCGGTTCTACCGTTCGAATTCCCGTTCCGGTGGAGGTTTGTTTGGGCGGTTGCTCAAAATCAATCGTGCAAATTCCACCAGTTTAGCCACTGCCGCTCTAGAAAAAGCGATGAAAGAGGCTTTCACCGATAAGGAACGGAGTTTAACCCTAAAAGATACTCTGAAACCAGTTCTGGTACCTTGCTACGACCTGTCAACAACAGCGCCATTTTTGTTCTCGCGAGCCGATGCCCTAGAAAAGGATAGCTTCAACTTCCGGCTCTGGGAGGTTTGCAGAGCAACATCGGCCGAACCGGCAATATTTGAACCGGTAACATTGAGGTCTATCGACAACCAAACCAATTGCCTGGCCATCGACGGCGGTTTGACAATGAGCAATCCGACGGCGGCCGCGATCACGCACGTACTGCACAACAAACAAGAATTTCCATTCGTGCGAGGAGTCGAAGACCTTCTGGTTCTGTCCTTAGGAACCGGCCAGCCATTTGAGGCCCGCCGCGATTACCGTCAGGTCAAAAGGTGGAAGGAGAAGGAGTGGATTCGGCCCATGAATCGAATCTCCGGTGAGGCCTCGGCCGACATGGTGGACCAGGCCGTCGCCACGGCCTTCGGTCAGTCCAGGAGCTCTAATTACGTGAGGATTCAGGTACAACAATCTGACACGTGCACACAACTGCACATTATTCCTATTTCCAAGAACTTTCTTTTCTTTATTCGTCATGCTTCTCATTTTTAAATGAAAACATTCTTTTAAAATAATAATTACAACGACATATGCATAAATTTTAACCATAAAGTCTAAATTGGATTTCCTTTTATTAGCATAAAAAGAATTCATTTTTATAATTCAATAATTAAATATTGTGGTTCCATTAAAGTAGTGATGGTGGGTTTGTTAGTCATTAGACAATTAAAACACTACAGCAGGTGTGCATAGGTTATGTCAAATAAAATGTTTGGACTAATTAGTTGAGTTCTTAGCGGGAATAATTAGATTAGATAGTAAACTTTATTTTTGGGTTGGTGGTACTTAAAAAAATTTGAGAATATATAATTCAACCCAACCATGGATAATTCTACTTGTTGATTATCATGTCTTGTGAATATTTCTAGTAAAAATCCATTTGATATTAACTATATAAAATCTTTAAACAAATTAAGCGTATAAACATTTTTTTAACGTAAATGTGGTATTTTAAATTCTAGCCAATTTTTTTTTAATTCTATTTTTAAATTTTAACTACAAATTCAATTGTGTAAGCAAAAATGGTGGGAGTTTTTTTAAAAAGAAACAATTATCAAAAGAATTAGGTGAGAGTTTGGGGGGAAAAAAATTTAGCTGTTTATTGGGTCGAGTTGGCCCTCCTGCAAGCGGAAAGGTCACGGGAACCTGTGTCGTTTTGCTACCTATAGTGATTATTATACTTGCGGCATTTTCTGTTTTGGTTTTCATTCTGAATGAGCCCCCACTTTAAGGCATAAGTTGATAGATAATCCATCTAAGTTTTCTTTAGAGGAGTTTGCTTCCACTAGAATAGTAATGTGAAACAAGTCCATTCCCCAACCAGGCTTTGTAGCTAGCCTTCCAATAATCTTTTTGCAAATTTCCCCAAAAGAAGGAAATATAGTTGTTCGTGCGGGTAGGGGTCTAGATACTGGGGGGGAAAGGGGCATGGATTTGGTAAAAAGCTGACCACAAGTATGTTTAGTGTCCATCGGTGCATAATACAAAACGATACTTTGCTCTTTGCTCTGTTACTATCGCGGGGTCCATGTATGGATGTACCAGGAAATGGACCTTAAAGCCTATGTAAGTAAATATATGATGGGTGATTGTGCTTCCTTCTCCGTAATTGCGGAAGTTTTCTGGTATTGTAATATGGAGCATTTTTCTGCTGTAAGTGGAGAATATTCTCTTAATCTTCCTCTTGCACATTTATTCTGGAGTTCTAACAGTGGGGCATTTTGATCGAGGATATATGTCTTAACCAATGAGAAGATAATGATATACAATTACAATTTCATTTTCAAACGACATACTTTATTACAAGTAGTGTTGTTTGTAGCTCTAACTCAAAATAGTAAGAGGAGAATGAACTTCATAATCTACTAATTGAAATTCTCCCAGAAATATTGAGTGAAATGACAGAACTTCTAATGTACATGATACTCAAACCCAGTCATTATTGGTATTTCAGGCACTTGGATCAAGCTTAGGCCAGGGTGAACCTAGCTCAAGTACTGATTCCAATGCTCGTAATGTAAAGATGCTGGTTGAATTGGCAGATGAGGTCCTTAAGCAGAAGAATGTTGAATCTGTTCTCTTTGGAGGAAAGCGATTTGCAGAGCAAACCAACTCCGAGAAGCTCGACTGGTTTGCTGGAGAATTAGTGCTTGAACATCAGAGGCGGGGCTGCAGAATTGCTCCCACTGTGGCTTTCAAGCAAGCTACCACCCAGGAAAGTGTCAAGGAGCGCTCATAATGAAGAAAAGTAAGCTCACTCTTTCTTCTGCTTTTTTCATAATTTGTCACTTTATTTTCTTCTTGTTTGCTGAATCCTTCTTATAGTCGCTTATATTACGTATGAAAGAAAAAAACCAAACAAATTGTAAGACTAGAAATCTAGACCACCACTCCCAAATTTTAGTTAATGTGGCACAGTCATCTGATAACTGATTTTTATTCTATATAAGAATAAAAAGTAAAGTTGATTATCTACCAATTTCTTGTGAAGACTTTCTACAATTGCGTGTGTGGTAGATTCAAACATCTAATCTCTTGATCAAAGAACATGTTTTATATAGTTGTTGAGCTATTAGTAACCATTTCCGGTAAAAGTTGTACTAAAATGTCTGGTACAAGTCTACTAGAGGTTAGAAGAAACCAACAATGAGTTGTCAAGGTCAACAAGAAAGTATGGATGGGATTGGAAGAGGGACCAACTGTTGTTGTACGGTTGTAGAACTTGATTGGAATTTTTAGTTTACTATTATATTAGTTTGGTAAATTCCAGATAACCCTAAAAATCTTGAATAAATTGAAATTCAGAAATTCAATATGGAATCAAATCCTATTGACCAAGATATGGAATATGTTAGTATAACTAAAATTAGAGAGATACCTAAACTCTAATAAAAAGTAGTACCTAATATGCTCACAATTGTCAAAGGTATTATTGTAAGAACTGGTGAATGGAAAAGGACGAAATTTTTTTGTCACTTTCTAGCTAACTTCTGAAAAGACAAGGGGTAGAACTGAAGAATCCCCGTGTCAATAATTTTTTAAAAAAGATGCATAATGTGTGAGCTGCATTGTCTTTTAAAAAAAGTGGGTTTTTTCTATGTCATATGAATTATTATAATTTCTGTGCACTAATTCCTACTACTATGGACTTATTGGGATTAAGGATCCATATTTCTTTAGCTGGTCACAGTTATAATTATAATTCTCAAGCTAAGCCTTATCAGGAAAGCAACTAAACTAACTTTAAAAGGTTATATCTTAATTCCATTTAGAAAAGTAAAAAGAAAAATTGTGCCAAGAGTAAGAGGACAGCTTTAAAATACTGTTCTGAAACAGCATCAGGTAACTTCCATTTTCCTGAATTGACATGATTATATTGACCCATTTGATTTGAGAAACCTTTTGTTTGTTTTCTTGCGCTGTGTTATAACACAAATTCTTAAGGAAACTTTAAATTTTTAGTCGAATTTCAACAAAAGCATGAGAACTATGTCGAGGATTATTGGGAGTGAGTCCCACGTTGGTTAATTTAGTGGAAGATCATGGGTTTATAAGTGAGGATTAATATCTCCATTGGTATGAAATCTTTTGGAGAAGCCCAAAGCACAGACAATATCATACCATCGTAAAGAGTCGTGATTTCTAACAAAAATTAGTATTTGACACAATTTTTGTTATTTTACAGGAACGTGTTTTGGAAATAGGATGTCTAGGGGAGAAGAGGAGGAGGCCAGTAAGGAACTGAAAAGGACAAAAGACATATACAGTATAAAAGATTGGTAATCTGTGTGGGATACTCCTGCCCAACAGAGGACAGACAATCTTTTCTTCTACACCCAAGTACATTGGCAAGAAAAAGGGATTCAAACACAAAGGGAGCACATTTGAATTCCTCTCCTTCATTTTCAGGTATCAAACAAAAAAGAAAAAAAAAATGCATGAAATTTCATCTGCTTTCAAATTGAAGAATTCAGTGTGGTAAAACTTAAGAACCTCAACACATTGTTTATAAGACTACCTTTCCTCTGATTCTATTTCTATAGATAACAAAGCCTTTGATTGAAGGTCATACCCACCATGCTCAACCCATATCCTCATTAGAAAAGGCCTACTTAAAGGAATCCCATCAATATGATAATCTTGAACCCACTTTTTGTTTTTAGGAAAATTTTAAAAACTCTCCTTTAATCAACCATCTAACAACAAGTTTTGTTGCTTTCTTTTTTATGATATTATAATTGTGAGTCGCCAAAGCTGACTTTGGCCAATATTCTATGAGGAATCTACTTTTGAGATATATGGTGACTGACAAGAAGTGCTTATCCTCAATGTCCTTACCTTATATTCCCTTATTGTTTATCAATTTAGATTGTGATTGTGGAAATTGTGTTAATTGTGTTTGGTAATAGGGGCTGTTTTAGGAGGGCCCCAAAGGGCAAAACAACTAGGAAATTCAACCTATGTCTAGATAATGATGGAAATTATGACAGGTAAAGCATCCACTCCTCCAATTAGATCACTCGTGAAGCTTTTTTGAGCTGAGGATAACGTTCATAAGCTTCACAAAATTTTGAAAAAGAATATCTGCCCAATTGTGGTTGGCTAAGCCCTTGATGATGGAAATTGACTATGGGTATGTTTGGTATTAACATTTTTAATTTTTAATTATAAGTGTTGAAAAGATATTTAAAAAAAAGCAGGTCAAGCTCGCCTTATAATTATTAATTTTAGCACACACAAAAATGGGCCATTTCAAGATATTTTATTTTAATTTAATATTTTCAAGCTCTTATTTTCACCTAACCAAGTCTTGACAACTAATGACATGAGTAATTAAGACTTTTGATAAAAATAAATAAATGAATAATAAAGACAGAATAAAGACGAGAATATTTAAGGTTATAGAAAGTGTTCAAGAAGCAAAGAATGGTAAATGTCATTTGTCTTAATTTTTTTTGTATTTTTTATATAATGCTTCGAATAATAGTTCTTGACAACTTTTTTGGTTCAACCGCATAAAATTAAAAAAAAAAAAAAAAAAAAAAAACGCAAATTTTTTACATTTTAGCAAAGATTGTGTACTTTAATTATTTAGGCTATCATTTTATCGTCAAAAGACCGTGGTCATCCAATAATACAACTTGAGGCATAGAGCAGTTAGAAGGGGATGAAACAATATCACAATTCAAATTATTTATTACCTTTATTACAAAACTTTGAGGTCTCATAAATTTCAAGGGTAAGCATGAAACAACTCTACCATACTAACTTGCTTTTGGGAGAACAACAAAAAATTGAGCACAAGTGTACAGAAAGAAGTTGAAGACTAGATCAAAGCTTATAGGATGTTTGTGTAAAAATAGCTTTTGTGTTCATGCGGTCGATTTCGAAGCCTCGGATCTCGGTTTAATAGGTGATTGCAGATCTGAGTTGATTGGGAACAGATTGCATTGTCCATGTTGAGCCATCAACTGGTCCACAAGCACTAGACTTACCATAGCTTCAACCATTGGTACAGCTGCATAGTCATTAAACCAGACAAATTCAATTGTTTTATAGCGCCAGAATTCTCCATTTCTATCGGTATATATTCATGGTAATATGTTTTCTAGTGATATTTTAGGAACAAGAGGTAAAATCAGTAACGCCCCAAGCCCAACATTAGTAGATATTGTTCTCTTTAAACTTTTCCTTTCGGCTTCCCTCAAAGTTTTTAAAACGCGTATGCTAGGAGGAAGTTTCCAGACTCTTATAAAGAACATTTTGTTTTCCTCCCCAACCGATATGAGATTTCATAATCCACCCCTCTTCGGAGTCCAACGTCCTCGCTAGTACTCGTTCCCTCTCCAATTGATGTGGGATTCTCACAATCCACCCACCTCCAAGGCCCAGCATCCTCGACACTCGTTCCTCTCTCTAATCGATGTGGGATCTCACAATCCACCCCCCTTTGGGGTCCTCGCTGGCACACCGCCCAGTGTTTAGCTCTGATACCATTTGTAACAGCCTAAGTTTGTGACTAGCAGATATTGTCCTCTTTGAGCTTTCTTTTTCAGGCGTTTTTAAAACATGTCTGCTAGGGAGAGGTTTCTACACTCTTATAAAAAATGTTTCGTTCTACTCCTCAACCGACGTGGGATCTCACAAAATCTTTACATCTTTTAACATACAAATACAAGAGATTACGTAAGCAGACAGCAGCAGTCAAATATAATTATAAGATAGTGGAGACTGCAAAATCTCAAGTTCATTTCTTTCATATCTTTAAAGAATAGCCACTTTTGCAAAAGAGGGCAAATAGATATTTAAAAATCATTGAAGTACCTCTTGGGACGACGCAGGGGTCATGACGACCACGGGCAATCAGCTCAACCTCTTCCTTCTCTCTGGTTACTGTATTCTGCTTTTTCTGCATAAAGCAATAGAAAGAGATTGAAACACCAAAAAAATAGATAGGAACAAGGTAAACTGAAGCAATGTAGGCTTCACTTATGATAGAGAAGTGCATCTTACCCCAATGGTAGCTGTTGGCTTGAAAGCTACCCTCATGCTTATGATTTCGCCGTTAGATATACCTCCCTGAACATCAATACAAGTCTTCAGTATCGAACAAAATCACAAAAGGAAAAACACACCGTGTTCGTTGATCAAATCTTAATCACTTCATATGGGCAAAACTAAATACCTGTATCCCACCAGATCGGTTGGTAACTGTTCTAATTCTTCCATTTTCATCTATATAGAATGGATCGTTATGTTCGCTGCCAGTTAAAAAGGTGCCTGCAAAGGTTTATAGTTTCAAACTTTTGAGTATTGAGTAAAAAGGAAGAACAGAACTACAGCAACTGCACAGCGTGAACTAATTCTATAACCAATAGCTTAAATGTAATCAATACTATACTATAATGGCTCCAACGAGCTCGAGTAGATATCAACCTGCAAACCCACTGCCGATCTCAAAGCCCTTTGATGCGGGTAAGGACAGTAGAGATTTAGCAAACTCAGCTTCAAGTTTGTCAAACACTGGTGAGCCAAGCCCCTGAAAGTGAGGTTTCTAGTTCAGTATGATATTCGCATGCCTACTGTGTCGTCGGAAAAGAGAGAGAGAGAGAGAGAGAGAGAGGGAGGCGTACAGGTGGACAGTTCTTCACAACGCACGTGACAACACCACCAACCGATTCTCCCTTCACACGGACAGCATCAATGGCAGCAATCATTTTCTCAGCATATTCAGGATCTGGGCACCTGACTATGTTGCTGTCGATCTGTAGTCCATAGAAATAACTATTGGGTTCATACTTATAAATCATAGGCGATGTACAAGCGTATTAACTCTCTGCATATCTAGCTTACCTGCTCCATTGACAAAGTTTCATGATCAACCACGCCCTCTGGCAGGACAACCTTGTAGACTTGAGATACATAAGCATGTACCTAAAGACATGACAATAACAAATCGGGCATTCAGGAGATAAGCCACAGGTAGATTGAGAAATAGAAAGCCCAATCAAACTACGGATACACATTGTGATATAGATATTGTGGATAATAACTCAGCACGAAACGAATGACAATAATGAAAAGGAACATAGATTTCACTCCTAAGTTGAAGTATGGACACACCTCAGTTCCTGCTAGACGCTTCAGAATTATCTTACCGAGAGCTCCAGCAGCAACCCTTCCAATGGTTTCCCTGGCTGAAGATCTACCACCACCCTACAAAAGAAACATGAAGGGCATATATAATATTACTAAACATAATACCAGTATCAAAATGCTGTTGTTGTACAAAACAAAAGGAATTACCTCAACAGCTCGAATGCCATATTTCATGTCGTAAGTGGCATCAGCATGTGAAGGCCTATACGCTATTGACATTTCACTATAATCCTGAAATCAAATGACAAAGCTATTAGATCTACAATACTAACATAATCAGGAATAAAGCAAACATATGGCTAGGTTCTTCATGAACAATTACATGCAGAGATTATGCTAAATATAAATGAGAACCATGAATAAAAAAATCCATACACTATTCATCATAAAAGCATCGTGTGCACTACACTTTACACTTGCATTGTGAGGCTCTCAAACCAAAAGAACAAAAAATGTCACGCCCCAAATTTTTACAATGTGCAGGACGTTGGGCCACGAAGGGGAGTGGATTGTGGGATCCCAAATTGGTTGGGGAGGAGAACGAAGCATTCTTTATAAGGGTGTAGAAATCTCTCCCTGGCAGACACATTTTAAAAACCTTGAAAGGAAGCCCAAAGAGGACAATATTTGCTAGCGGTGGGGGCTTGGGTTGTCACAAAAAATGAAGGAAGACTGAAAACTTGTTGTTTTTACCATAAAAGATCAAATCTTCTAATGCACTAAATCATTCACAATGTGGGTGAAATGAATGCACGGGCTGCAGATTCAATTTCAACCCACATGCGTTTACTTTAAAATATGATCATTAGGATTGTCGGTACAAGGATCGGTATGGTCAATCAAGAAAAATAAAAGAGAAAAGAAACTTTCTCACTTAAAAATGTTATCAAAACAAACTAACTTACATGTCCTCTCTGATCGGTATTTGGTACAAAGATATGAATTGGTGTTCCAGTAGTTAGTCCTGGAATTGAAAAATCATTAATAATTCATTCAAAAAGGAACGATTGAGAGAATTAGAGCGTAGAAAATTCTCAGAAAAGCTATACCATTAGTGACTCCTGAAAGTATCCGACATGTATCAGTCTCCTTTCTTGGAGTGGTAATTCTACTCTGACCTGGTCTCCTGGATATTTACAAATAATAATCTACCAGTTAATGCTGATAAAAGGAAACTCTTAGCTACATGAATTCATTGCATCCATTGACCGAATGTTCGAGACGAAAATATCATGAGGTTCCTTTCAAGTACCTTCTGTCAAGCTCCACTTGCAAATCAGCTTCCGAAATCGGCAAGCGTGGAGGACATCCATCAATCACACACCCAACTCCTCCTCCATGAGATTCTCCATAGGTTGTAACACGAAAGTAATTTCCAAATGTACTTCCAGCAGCCTTTATCTCTGTGATTAACCTAACAAAATGTAAGAATACTAGATTTCCAAAATCCCCCCAATTCAACTCTTGTCAACTACTCCGATCATAACATTCTTAAAAACTATTATATATCATATGCACCACAAAAAGAACTTCAATACAGCTCCCAGATGAGCCTAATTCAAGCCCAAGATATAAGTATAACCAGATGAACAAAAGCAACTCGGTAAAACCTAAATCAAGCAACCAAATCGTTCATTCAACAATTTCCTACAGTTTTCTTCTCTATACAGTAACAACTAAAATCAATTAGCAACCACAATCCCCCTATCCATCCAAACATTCAACATACTGAAGAAAAACATAAAAAGATAAAGCAAACTTACGGAGCTTCTTCGCGTTTCGAGTTCCGACTGAGATTTTAACAGCCGAAAAGGAGAGCTTCGAGAGATCTGAAGAACGAGAGCCGAATCCAGAGAAGCCATCGGTTCTGGAAGAACCAAGAAATGTTTTAGACGAGAGAGAGGCGGCCATGGAAGAAGAGGAGGAAGGGTTGAGAAGAAGGTGGAAATTGAGATTTGAAATGAAGCAATTCTGTGGGCAATTTGTTAAAATATAGAAAAATCAGTACCAACCCACCACTCCTTACCTACCCCACAATTTCCCACTGCTCTCTCTCTCTCTCTGCTTCTGTGTTTGGTGAGCCTTGTGGCGGGCGGTTGAAGAAGGCGGGCTCTGAATTTGGTTGGTGGCCTTTTGGTGGCATTCGACAAGTTTGACCGTTGAAACGACATGTCGTTTCTCTTGCCGTTCTAGATTGGGCTTTGAACGTTGAAACGACATTTAGGCCCAAGGTTCTTAAATGGGCTTTGAATTTTCTCTTTGGGCCTCTGGGTTGGGCCATGAAAACTATCAAATTGGGCTTCTTGTAAGAAGGCCTAATGGGCCTCAAATGAATTAACGTAAATATATTCACAATTAAATCAATTTAAATTATTAAAATTTAAATATATATATTAAAGTTATTTGTAACTTTTGAAAATTATTTCTTCCAAGCAAGCAATTTTGTTGTCAAATCATCCACGTCATCAAATATTACAATATATTTTATACATAATTAATTAAAAAATAATAATACTACTATTCTAATGCCCATCATTATCGTGGAATTAATATTTAACTAAAAAGATAAAATAAAATAAAAGGTAAAGGTTCACGTCTATAACCTTGAATTATGCTTTCCATTATTTTAATTCATTCGACCTATCTATCTCACGAACACGTAATTTTCATTAAATAAGATACATGAATAAACCGATATCTCTTATGGTTGATAAATATTTTTTAAAAATTGTAATTATTACTTATACCAATAAGGTGTAAGTTCTTTTTCACCGACTCAATTGTAGAAACTTACAAATTTAATTGGTTTTGTTTAGAGTAATTTTATGTTGAGTGACGTGTTAAAACTTTTTCTATTAAACATGCACATGAGGACAAAACATATTGAAATAACTCGGGTCTGTCTGTGGGGATAGTCTTAACTCTTAGAAACACTTCGAGACAAGACAAGTCCTGTTGCAAGAGAATGTATGTGAGATCTCACATTGGTTGGAGAGAGGAACAAAACATTCCTTATAAGATTGTGGAAACCTCTCCTTCGTAGACGCGTTTTAAAACTTTGAGGAAAAACTTAAATAGGATTTAGCTTAAATAGGATGATATCTGAGGGAAAGCTTAAATAGGATTTAGGCTCGGTGTGCCAGTAAGGATGTTGAGCCACAAGGGGTGGATTGTAACGAAACATCCCTTATAAGGGTGTGGAAACTTTGTCTAGTAGACGCGGAAGTCCGAAAGGGAAAGTTTAGGGCATAACTCTGATACCATGTTAGGAATCACGACTCTTCACAATTATATGATATTGTCCACTTTGAATATAAGCTCTCATGCTTTGCTCTGGGCTTCCCCAAAATGTCTCGTACCACTGGAGATAATATTCCTCACTCATAAACTCATGATCTTCCACTAAATTAACCAAGTTAGGACTCACACTTCCAACAATCCACGGAAACATATATATATTTTATTTTATTTTTATATAGAAGATTTGATGAAATTTAGGGTTAGGGCAAAATGATAGAGAGAGAGAGGCATGCGAGAAATTATGAAAATTATGATTGATGTGAAAAAAAAGGGGAAAGAAAGACGTGTGCCAAATAATGTCGGGTTTTTTTAGGTTAAATGTTGTCTCAAATAATGTCGCATGCGGTGTAGATGCAGCTTTTATTTCTCTCCTCCTTTTTGGATTTTTTTATATAATTATTTTTCTTCAACATTTTATTATTATTATTATCTAATTTTACCATTCTTATTAATATTTGATTCATAATGTCAAACTTGTAAATTCACTTGTCTTGCTCATAATTAGCATGATGTTAAAGAAAATCTTGTGTGAGATTATCCAACGTGGCAACTTAGGGTTCACGAAAACATTCTCTACTTAGAATCTTAAACTGTAACTCCATATACACATTATCATCGTCCAGGATTTTACACACACAGTGTTAGGTCACACATCAGTCAGAGAGGAGAACGAAACATTTCTTATAAGGGAGTGACATCTCTATCTGTTACAGCGATACGTAACAGGTCAAAGTCATTCTCTCTGCTCCCTCCTTCATTACCCAATTTAAACGGGAATTTTTCATCTTGCGTACGGCTTCGATCCCGCAAGTTAAATGGATATCTTTAACGAAGATCACCTCGACTTGATTTATTTATTTTTTTTTTTTTTTTTGGGATTAAGTAATGAATATAGACACAAAAAATTGAGGGGTTTTAAAGGTGATGAAATTATATAATTGCATATGATTGATGTGAAAAAAAAAAAAGAAGATTGACATGAGTCAAATTATGTCGCATGCAGCTTTAATTTTGGGTTCAAAATAAAAGAGGAAATCATTTTATTTCATTTCAATTTTAATTTTAATTTCAAGTCCTTTTTTGGGGGAGGTGATTTGAAAGCTATACTTTTGGATTTGTGCCTTCTGAATGATTGGAACAAACCCATTCTTTCTCCACAATATCATATATATATATATATATATATATATATATATATATATATATATATATATATATATATAGAGGTTAAAGTTCAGATCGTTAGGGTCGTGAAAGTCAAGAGATTAAAAATTCGAGATCGCTCATCAGGATTGTACAAGTCAAGATATTAAAACGTCGAAATTGCTCAATAGGATTGTGTAAGTCAAGAGATTAAAAGGTCGAGGTCACTCAATAGGGTCATGTAAGTCAAGAGATTAAAAACTCGAGATCGCTCATTAGGGTCATGTAAGTCAAGAGATTAAAAACTCGAGATCATTAGGGTTGTCCAAGTCAAGAATAGCTATTTTCTTATGTGTGCTCAGTTAATTATATACGCAAGTTTCTGCAACAAACTAGGCTCCAGGATTCAATCAAAACTCGTGAGTTCTTATAAATTTATTCGATCATCAATTTCGTGTGGACTCAAATTTGCTGTCAATATATGCACGTTAACGAAATTAGTTATTTTCGAGAATTATTATAATTTATTAATATATCACAAATATTATATTAAAGTTTAAAATCAGACAAATTTCATATATTTCCTTTAGAGGTCGATCAATCGTCTTTCAAAAGTCAACGACTTTGTTTGAGTGCTGTCAATTTCATAAAACGGAACGTGTCGTAATAACTTTTATGTAATTATCGACAAAAATAATATAAATATTAAGACGAGAATTAATAAATACAATTTAAAAAATATAGAAAAGAAAAGAAAAAGAGAAATATTGGATTATTAAAGATAAAAATAAAGATTTATAATTTGATTCTTTCATCTCTTTAACTAAAGTGTCTTTCTTTTGACCTGCACTTGGCCTTTGAAACCCTAACATTATTCCCTTCCTTCCATTTTCCAACCAATCACAGCCCGACACCTCAGCTTGTGGCCCCCACCTCTTCTTTTTTAACCGCATTCTCCCATTAATTACCCTAATTAATCTTAATTAACCAAGATCTTTTTCCTTCACGATTAGGGTTTACCTTATAAAGTACTAATCTCGTCGAGAATAATCACTTAGTCTCTAAATATAACCCGAACGTTGCATCACAAATCGAAAAATCAAGAGCAAAAAAGTTCAAAACGAGAACAATCACTTCATCCCTACCTATATCTCGAACATTGTATACACAAATTGGAAAATCAAGAGCTCGAGAACATGCTGAGTCTTTAAATAGCAGTTAAGTTCTAAACGAGAACAATCACTTCATCCCTACCTATATCCCGAACACTGTATATACAAATCAGCAAAGCGAGAGCTCAAAAACGTGCTAACAATTACGGAAAACGAACAAAAAAAAAAGGATTTATTGAGATAAATGTTTGATTATTACACTACATGTAGTAGAATATAGCTAGCCATTAGGCTAAGATGCTATCCAAATAACCCTAGCTATGAGAGAATCCTCAAGCTCTTTCCACTTAGATTCTTTCCCATTCAAATATATATATATATATATATATTTGGATCCTCTGTGGCCAGATCTATCTTACTCTCTTCATATTGAACAACCCATCACCACACGATCAGATTTCATCCCATCAGATCTTCGGTCGCTTGCTATTATACATTGGTATACATGAGATCTAAATATATTTCACAATGTTTAATTTTCATTCATTTAAACTATATAATAAGTATATATAATAAGCTATAAATTCAAGGACATCATGATGAAAGAAGTACATTGCAAATTATAAGGTAGAATGAAAGATTACATATAATTTTATAATATGGTTTTGGGTTATGGAAATGAAAGATATGAATCGATCCATGTGACAACCATGCAAATAAATGAAGATTTTATATCTATATATATACATAATCTGGTTAATGCTAAGAACAAATCCCGAACATGGATACATTTTAAACCGTTGCCAAACAGTGATTTGCAAACAAGAACCCTAAATTTAAGGGAAATGATGAAAACCCTAAAATAAAAGACGTATTGTGTCTGTGAATCTGTGATATTCCCTCTGCAAAAAAACATCACATCACAAGGGACAAAAAAAAAACCCTAAATTTGAAGAAGAAGAACAAAAATACCTCTTCATTGCCAATCTTTGAAATTAGGGTTTTTCGGGTAGCTGCAATAAGAAAAGGGCACGAGCATTGAAAAGGGTTAGTTCGAGAATTACCAATTTAGAGCATAATTGAGTTGAATAAGACATAGATGGATTAAAAACAAAAGACGGGGTAAGTTGTGATGTTAAAGATAAAAGATTTGAATCCCGATCTACACGGAATATGCTTGGCTCCTCGTACGCCATTTACGGAGGTCTTTGAAATTAGGGTTTTTTGGGTAGCTGCAATAAGAAAAGGGCACGAGCATTGAAAAGGGTTAGTTCGAGAATTACCAATTTAGAGCATAGCTGAGCTGATTAAGACATGGATAGATTAAAAACAAAAGACGGGGTAAGTTGTGATGTTAAAGATAAAAGATTTGAATCCCGATCTAGACGGAATATGCTTGGCTCCTCATACGCCATCTACGGAGGTCATCGGGTAAGACGGTGAGCGCTCTACAAATGGCATACAGGGAGCCAGGCAGATTTGATACATGAAAGCATATATCAGAAAGGAATGGAGAGGGTGAATGAATGGGAAGAAGGGAGGAAAAGGATGGGATATATAAGGAGATTGAAAAGGAAATTTGAAAATAAAAGGAAAAAGTGGGGGGTGGGAATGGTAAATATGGGAAAGTTGGAGGGGTGAATTGCAATAAAAGAGAAGAAAGCATGGGGTGTGGGAATTTTGCAGTAAGGCACCTGCTGGTTTTGCCGTGTTAATATAAAGAACAAAAAATGGTTTAGAGGGTAAGCACTCAATTCCCCAAGCTATGGCTTATGGTGTTTGAAATCTCCTTTTCTGCCTCATAAAGCAAACCTTACTTTTCTATTCTGAAACTCATTTTGTCTGCAAGTGTTTGGAAACATATGGATTCCTCCCCTTCCTTCCTTTTTCCTTTTTTTTTTTTTTTTTTAATTTTAAATAATTATAATAAAGAAAATAACATATTATATATATATATATACACACGCGCAAGCATTGGATGATGAAAGTCCCACATCGGCTAATTTAGGGAATGATCGTGGGTTTATAAACAAAGAATACTCTCCCCATTAGTATGAGGTCTTTTGGGAAAGCCCAAAGCAAACCCACAGAGTCATGCCCTAAACCTAGTTGTGACAATAGATTGGTAAATCCTCAAATGTCGATCGTAATTTAGATAATGGTCGGTGGTTATAAATTAAAAAAAAATGATGTGGGGGTTTAGTTGAATAATTATTATATTTAGGGGTAATTAAGATAAGTAATCCAACCCCACTTCACCTAATTGCACTTAAGGTTTGTGTCTTTATTTGGGTTTGGAAATGGCCACTTCATGCCTTTTGAATTGTTTTAGGACAAAAAGGTCATTTGACTATAAACGAAAGGGAGGGAAAATATTGGTATTGGTCCCTACACTCATCATTTACTTTAAATTCCTTTATCCTCATGTTCATCTAATTTGTCCAATTTACCTCTCCATCCCTCTCATCATTTTTATTATTATTATTATTATTATTATTTTACTTTTTTTTTCTTTAATTATAATTATTTTTTAGATCAACGAAAGGGGATCCCACAGTATTCGTTATAAAGATGTGGAAACGTGTCCCCAGTAAATGGGTTTGGTGAAATAATGAAACATTTCTTATACCGATATGAAAACTTGTCCCTAGTAGATGAGTTTTGTGACATAATGAAACATTTATTATAAGAGTGTGGAAACCTATCCCTACTAGAGGCGTTTTGTGAGATCCCTTATATGAGTGTGGAAACATCTCCCTAGTATAGGCGTTTTAAAATCGTGAAGCTGACGGTGATACGTAATGAGCCAAAATGAACAATATTTGCTAGTGATGGTCTCAGGCTGTTACATGACCTCTTGATCAATGATAGGTTGTCAAAGTAAAAAATATCTGCTAGTGATGGTCTCGGGCTGTTACATGACTTCTTGATTAATGGTAAGTTAATCAGTTGAGGTAGGGTAAGCTCGATCTTATTTATCTTTATTCTCTATTTTTTCCTTTAATTATTAACTTTTTTAGTTTCAAATAATATATGACCAGACATTTGAACTTCTGACCTCTTAATGGATGATATATGTGTTAATTACTCACATATGTCAACCAGAAATTACATCATTTAATTTTAAATTTTTGGTATAGTTTTCATTGAAAAAAATAATTAGTGCATGAGTGAATAAAGTCAACTATCTATCAAATCACATGTTTCTCAATTATAACAATGTTTTTAAAATCAATAATTTGTTTCTTATAATTTTAAGGATAAATACAATGTTTTAGCCCTTCATTTTTTCAATTTACTCGTTATTATTATTATTATTTTATTACGTCCTTGATTCCTCTGTGAGTTTTTCCAGCATTCACTAGCAGTGACTGGACGGTGCGAGACACTGGTCGTAGCAGTGCTAGTTCCTCTCCACAGTAGACACGTTTTAAAACATTGAGGGAAAGCCCTGGAAGAGAAAACTTAAAAAAGACAATATTTACTAACAGTTTGGAAGATATATATGTAATACGAGAATAAGTATATATGAGCACGGATACAAATCACAAATTAACACAAATATCTAAACATAAAGAACAAGAAGACACAGACGAACGACACATCCCACAACGAGCAACCTTTCTCGTCACGCTCCTATTATCACAACACAAACACCGTTTTTAACGAGAGTAAGACCGATAGAGTGGAGTCGGGTCGTGGAGTGTTGTAAAAGAAAAGAAAAGTGTGGGGGGAATCCTGGTGTCAGATAATTTAATGATATTGGGGTTCATCTGAAGCTGCCCTTTACTTGGTTTTGTGCCAAAGTGATCAAATTTTTTGTCCCCCTTGTGTTTGTTGTTTGTACCCAAAATGTGTGCTCAAGGTTAGATTCTACTCCAACCTCCCCATTCTTTTTAACTCTCTTTCACTTTTCCCAAATATCCACACTCCTTATCTCTCCTTTTCATGCCAACCAACATTAAATATTCCCCACATTCCTTTCTTTTATTCTTTTTCCATCAATTTTTGCACAAAACCCCAATGCCCTTTCTTAATAAAATACTCGATAACCACCTGTAATTCATGTTTTCGTGTCGTTATGAGTTATAACTCTACTAAGTCTTAGTGTTCAGGGCAAAACCCAAATGGGGTTTGTGAATAAAAGAACTAGGAAACTCCCCTACTCGAGAACGAGTTGCAAATTTTGATGTTTTAGTGTCGTTATGAGTTATAACTCTAGTGTTAGTGTTGTGCAATGTTTCTAGTTTTGTCCTAATTTAAACGGAACCTAAATGGGGTTTGTGAATAAAATAATTAGGAAACTTCCCCACTCGAGAATGAGTGGCAAATTTTCATGTTTTAGTGTCGTTATGAGTTATAACTCTAGTGTTAGTGTTATGTATGTTTTTGGTTTTGTCCTAATTTAAACGGAACCTAAATGGGGTTTGTGATTAAAATAACCAAGAAACTCCCCAACTCGAGAACGAGCTGCAAATTTTCATGTTTTAGTGTCATTATGAGTTATAACTCTAGTGTTAGTGTTATTTATGTTTCTAGTTTTGTCCTAATTCAAACCGAACCTAAATGGGGTTTGTGAATAAAATAACCAGGAAACTCCGCAGCTCGAGAACTAGTTGCAAATTTTGATGTTTTGGTGTCGTTATGAGTTGTAATTGTAGTGTTAGTGTTATCGAGAAACGACTAGGTATCTATATATATTTGTAAGTGAGTTTATTCTCTTGTCTTTAAGGTTCGTGTCTATTTAGTACTTGGATTTTTTTTATTTCAGGTTTTGCCCTACTTCAAACAAAACCCGCTCGTAACCGAGTAGTGGGTTTTGATATAAAATTAATTTACTAATTTAAAAAGAAAAAAAGAAAAAAAAAATGAGAAGGTTTTGAAAAACCCTAGAGGAGAGGAGAGGAGAGGAACAGAAAAGGTGGAGCAGAGGAAAGGGTACCTTATTATTCTCTTTTTCTTTCACATTTTGTTAAAGAACGTGAAACTCCAGCTTTCCCCTTGTGCATGCAACCCTAGCATCATTACCCTCACTACTTCCACTCCTTTTTTTATTTTATTTTATTTTTTATAGTAAAAAAATTAAAAAATATATATATATATATGAAACTTCAATTTTCATCATTCAATGGGCCCGTTTATTTGGGCTTTCTTGTCCAGGTTTATGGGCCTTTAGCCCAATGGAGTGTAATGATCTATTGGGCTCACACCACCACTTGCTTGTTAATCAGATTGGGCCGAAGTCCACCATTGTGTTTTACAGGCTTGCAATGACTAGCCCAATTAGAGATTGATGATAAAATCCTAATGGAATTATTAACTATTAGTTATGATTTTTGGTTTGAAGTTTTAGCTGAGCATTCGAGGCAGAAGGGTGTGTGGAGATTATTTCAAGAGCCCGGTTTAAATGATAGAGAGACTTAAACAAATAGGTGCTGAGTTTACGAGGTGAAGGAGAGGCTCGAGCACAAATAGGTAAGGGCAAACTAGTGGTGAATAAAACAAATAATGGAGTCTTATGCTAAATGATGCTTCATTTTTCCTCCAATGGTAACTTGATGCACTGAAATGAGGGGCAATATCAAGATACAGAGCACATTCAAAGCCGCAAAGGGAGGGAAAACCATCGAGTTCAGATTCAGGACAGGGAGAAATTTAATTACATTTGGTATGATTTAAGACAAAATTCAAGGGGAAATCGTTCTGGGGATGATGATGTCGCCAATGTTGTTGTGCCATGGGTCAGCCAAGTGAGTAGCCAAGTTCTCGAGTGGCCCTGTTCCTGGGTATGCCGATTGTTGCACACAGAACCCAACAAAAGCCAACAACGCCAACCGACCTACAAAAAAACTAGTCATTTTTCACGTTCTTTCCTCAGAATGCTTCAAGTTCTAGTGGAAATGAAAGGCCTCACCATTTTTTATCTCCTTGACTTTGTATTCCTTCAGCTTTTCAGGGTTTTTGGAGTAACCCAATGGGTCAAAAGCACCTCCAGGGTACTTCTTCTTCTCTGGGTCTTTCTCCATGCTGCGTTGGTGCTCTACAAAGGCAATGGCAAGGAACTCAATGACCAAAATGGTTGGCAAAGTTCCCCATGGGACTGGTTGCCCCAGGTAGGTAGCTTGGCCTCCTGGAATAGCTGCCCATTCCTGAGCTTTCACCCAGTTGCCCAATCCCAACGCCTCAGGTACCAACATCCCTGGCTGAAAAACAGAACAAAGAGTGTGAAAATTCATCATCGGTGGAGAAAAAGAACAGCCCCATAATCTCAGAATCAAGCAACTGGATTTGGAAAACTTACAACAGCAAGCATGGCCCATCTGCAGTGAATTAGCTCAGACTCCTTGAATCTCTCGAGATTCTCTGGCACTTCTCCCAGCCGAAGAGGGTCAAAGCCAAAATCACTGTTGAACACAACCACACATCTCAAGAACTAAGTAACAGTAAATTCAAACATGGATTCACATTCTCTAATAATTTCAACAAACCAAGGACAATTCACAGCACCCAAAAGACAGTCGTGACTCAGGCATTTCATCAAACATCTAGAGGGCAATCATCCCACATCAACAAAAAAAAAGAACCCCCAGATTTTTCGAAATAAAAAGAACATTTCAAATTTCAGTACCCGGGGGCAGAGCCGTCAAGGTACGGC